TGATAAACTATGGGAGTTTCAAAGTTTTGGCTGATAATTTTTGGGAAAATTTGCCAAAAATATAACAAAAAAATTATAGTTTGAAAACTAACAAAAAACCCTAAATCCAATGGTATAAAAATTGCCACATACCCCATTTTTCCTAAATTTTTTAATTTTTTTTTTTGGTTATTCACCAAAAAAACACATATTTTTTTGGGTACTTAGAAGACAGTTTTTGGATATTCCAATTTTAAAAATAGTTTGCCGTTCCAAAAAACATTTAAATCCAAGACACAAAAGACCCAACCCTATTGTATTACCATTAGGCCACCATCCCTTTGATATTTACTATATTTTCAAGTAGGTAATTCATTGTACGATTGCAAACGATCCACTACTAGTTGCAAATTCAATAAATACAACGCCTCGTGGTCCTCACTCGTCCCTTAGTTTAAGCGATGTGTCCGTGAAGGACTTGCATAATAGTCTTGACACATAGACATAAATCATTCCGTAAGTCCGTAAGTTATAAATTAATGTGAAACACGAAAAGAAGAAGCCAGCCACGCCTATAATATAAAACTAGTTGTTGATATACATGCAACGTGTTTTTTCTTATGGTTTTAGAATATTAATTTTTCTGTTAAGAAATAATATTATAAAGAAAAATTAGATATACTGTAATATTGTTTGGGGATAATCTATTATCAGCCAATCACAATGCAGCTTGTGGACTAGGGAATTTATGGATCAAATTTATCAAACACAACCGATCATGCACGAAGACAATTAGTGATAAGACAAATTAGATACACCGATCGTGGCCGTGGCTCATGCGTGGAAGACTAATGTTTTCAAATAGTTTTGGAAATTAGAGTGATGGTTTGACATTTTACGTATTATTATGTGTTGATCATAATATTCATTTAATAAGTTTTTTTTTTTTTTGAAACCTTTTCAACATTTAATAAGTTTTAAATCAAGTTTATGAAAGTTCTGGATGGTTTGATCAGTTTAAGAACTTAATGGAAACTTTTGGTTGAGATTTTAACATTTATTTTCATTGGTTACGTACGATGCATGAGGATAGGAAAGTTTTGCTCAACAGTTTTCAAAGAAGCCCGTTTATGGAAAGATTATTTGTTTTCTTTTTAACAGATGATTGTTTCATTTCCCTCGTTGGTGAAAGTATTGAACCTCTAAAATTTCAAGATATATGAATCTAGATCTAAAAACAACCTAGATCCAAATCCGCAAAAACATTTGGAAGCAAAAAAAGAAC